TAAAAACATCTTTTAAAAGTTTGGGAGCCACATTCATACAACAAGGATGCCTGTTCCACTATGTTCAGAGCAGCATTATTTGTAGTAGCCAGAACCTGGAAGCAACCTAGATGCCCCTCAACTGAAGAGTGGATAGAGACAATGTGGTACATTTACACAATGGAGTACTATTCAGCAGAAAAAGCCAACGGAATCCTGAAACTTGCAGGCAAATGGATGACACTAGAAGAAACCATCCTGATTGAGGTAACCCAGTCACAAAAAGAGAAACATGGCATGTACTCTCTCATATATGGATTTCAGATATAGATCTGGGGAGTGCCAGCCTACAATCCCATGGCCAGAGAGTCTGGGAAACAGAACCTTCATTCAGTGGCAGATGGAAGCAGAGGCACACTCCCACAGCTAAGCACAGAGCTGAATTCAAGAAATCCAGTGACAGAGAAGGAGGACTGATGACCAAAGGGATTAAGACTGGGCTGCCTTAACCCCCAGAAACAGCTGACCTGATAAGGGTTAGCTCTTGAATCCAAGGCTAATGCCTGGGATTCCATCATGGGACTGATCAAGACCCCTGAATGTGGGTGTCAGTGAGGAGGCCTAGGTAATCTATTGAGCCTTGGGTAGTAGATCAGTATTTATCCAGGGTAAACAAATGGACTTTGGACTCCCATCCAACAATGTGAGATGCACTCTCACCCTGAACTCTTGGGGGGAGGGTCTAGGCCCTGCCCTGGATGAAATGACAGACTATGGACACCCCATGGAGGGCCTCACCCTCCCTGGGGATATGAGGGAATATTGGGGGGGGGTTGGTGGCAGGACACAGGATGAGGGGAGGGAAACGGAGAGGGACCTGTAATTGATATGTGAAGCAACCTTGTTTCTAATTTAAATTTAAAAATAAAAAAAATTAAAAAGAAAGTTTAGGGCCCCAAAATATTCAGTCTACGTTATTCAAACATTAACAATAATTGCAAGAGAGGCACTCTGCAATAATGCAACTAACTGTGGTGCATTTTCCTCTTTAACATACATTCTATAACATAGAGAATCCCATTTCCAGATACTATGTGGGAATGAATGGGCACATAGGTGGTATTTCACTGATGAAGCCTTCTTAAATTATTGAGAATTTTTAAGGTTGCTAGAGCAGCTGAAAGGGATTAGAAACCCCAAGTCCCTATTTGATAATTAAGTAAAGAGAGAAGGTAAGTTGCATACTTAGGTTGGAGAATGGATGCTAAAGTTGTTCACTCTTTTCTCTCGGAACAAAAATTAGTCTAATAATAACTCCAAAGGATGAGGTAATACTTGCTTAGGATCAGCTTTTAGTCTTCATCCGTTTTAGGTGAAGAATATTATCCCAGATCCATGGGCACTCTAAGACTTTGATCCTGTATAGAAGATTTGTTCCTGACAGGCAGAGAGGAACAACACAGCTGGTACAAAGAAATTTCGGGGCTGTTGAGAGACAATCTTAAATTTTCTAGGGAATGAAGTGAATGCCGAGTAAAGGGAATTGATGCACCTGGATTTTTAACTATATTATCCAATACCATTGATTTTCCTTTTCCTATATTAATTTATGAGAACTCTCTATGGACTCACAAGTAGAATGCAGGGTGCAAAGAAATAATTATTCGGAACTTAAATTTATAGATGAGGCCAATGTTAATGACACAGGCAATCCATGTGAGTGATCCTGTAGACAGCAGAGCCCATGGGATGAAACAAGCTGGCAGCGCTTTTAGACAAGAAGCATTAGCTGCCTGAATTTGGAGAATATGTAGAATTCTGTCATGTGTAGAAGAGGGGAAGAAGGTCCTCTGCTGGGCTAAGGAGATCTCCTAAAAGCAGAGAGGTTTCTGTGGCAAGTATGTGGTGAGTTTGGCTAACTCATGTGAGACTGAACTAAAACTATCTTTTAAAATAGGCTTGTGTGACATCATTCTTAGAGAAATGTGAATAGATGTCTACTCATCCCATATAGGGTACCAATGACAGACCAAAGTACCAAAGTACTTTCACAAAAGGTAGCACCAAAGTCCAACATGCTGAAGCAGTAAGTCTACCAGGGTTACTTACAGGAGTCTGGGTGAGGTGTTACTGACAAAAGCATGAATAGTTCAGAGGCAGCTGCTGCACTGAAAGCCCACCCCATCACAGGTGATGACTCATGAATATTGGGACCCTGGTGCTCTCTGCATGATGTTCAGATATCTTGGCAGGTCAAAGTGTCTCTTCTTTTCAGCAGTTCTTACTAATTATATAGTCTTTAGATGGGGCGGGGGCTTATGAATTTGGTAAGCTTCAGGGATTTCCTGAGCCTTGTGAGCTATTGAATTTTCAAAATTTAAGGTGCTCCTTTTTAGAACTTGCTCAGTCTTAAGAAGTTTCCCTTCAGAAAGGAATGTTTCAATCACAGAGAATTACTACACAAGTGATAGAAGAGTATTTTAGAGCTGATAAGATGTGAAGATAGGAGAAATTTTAATTGTGTAAGCAGGAAATGGTATGGTAAAATTGTTTGCACTGGTACCATGACTTAGTGGTTAAAGGCACCTGCTGCCAAGCCTGATGACTTGAGTTCAATCCCTGGAATTCATGTTTTACCAACTGTCTGAAGCTATTCTCCTACTTCCAAATGTGTTCTGTGGCATTCACCACAACTCCCTTCCTCCATACATGCAGGCAGACAAAACAAACAAACAAACAAACAAATAAGTGAATGAAAATAAGCATCACATCCTCAAATCTGGCCTTTCATTAAACTGTCTCAAGCACTTAATGAAAACACAGTTTTCAGCTGTCTACCTCAGATCTATTACTCACAGTCATGACGGGGAGAAAACAAGACTGTTTTTATCTTCCACTATGGTGACTTAATCACACAGCCTCAATTAGTGGGCAATGCTTTTCCTCTCACTTTTTCTTTTCTGCATTACAATGTCATTCATTCTTTTCACCCACGTGATCCCTGTGATTGGGCTCCTTCCTCTTCATGTTAATGTGTACTTTGATATGTACCAATGGGTAACAATGCCTACCTTATAAGTGACTCGGGTTTCTTCATTTGCAAGATAGCACACCTGTCTTTCACTTTTCTTTTAAATAGGCCACTATACTACTCATACAGACTGTGAGTCTCTATATTCTGAGTAACTAACATTTCTTTTTCATTTGAAAGTTCTCTGCCATAAAGTTTTACTTAAAACCCCATCTCATCCCTTATGCCCAAAATGCTTAAGACATTTTTCATGTTTTTATTCTTCATTTACTAATCCTCTCATTCCTTAGCTCATTCTTGATATGTTGCAGAGCTAAACAGTAGTCAGTCTCCTTTTTTCCTTGAATTTGATGCTATTTCACAGACAGGAACAGGGATTAGGGAAAAATATCAGAAGTGTTAATTTTATTGACACTGATTAACATAGATGGGAATATGTCTACATATGGAATTATCCAACTTGTTAACAGTATTGAAATAAGTTTCTTCCCTTTCCTTCTTTCCTTCCTTCCTTCCTTCCTTCCTTCCTTCCTTCCTTCCTTCCTTCCTTTCTTCTTTCCTCCCCCCTTCTCTGTCTCTCTCTTACAGCAAGGGGCAGTGACTGCTCAATTGCTTATGGCCCAGCTGTACAGACTAGATGGACATTCCTTGCAGGCAAACAGCAGTGATTTGTAAGCATTTGTACATGATGGGGAGATACTGAAGGTAGAGACCATGTGAAATTGACAGCCAGGCACCGAGTATTGTGTGAACTGAGACTACCAAGTGAAGGGAACTGAGGCCTGCACCCCACACAATATCCCTAATTAATGCTGGACAGATTCAGATGAAGTGATGAGACTCAGGCATGGTGAGAACTATAAGACAGGAAACAGACCAGAGCACATTTAGTGTCCAACAAAGGAGACACCACCAGTTAGAGATGGGTTCACCAGCCCTGACACTAGGGTTGTGCAGGTGGAAGACCAAAGGCATCAGAGCTGAGCATTGAGAGTGAGTAAGTTCCTTGTGAGAAGGAAGTGTCAAGATTGTGTCACCATTTGGGGTTTTCACTCACAAGGAAGGAAGCAAGCAATACAAGTAAAACTTTGCCATTGAGGACAGCTTTGTTGAGAAACACATTGAACCTCTTTAAGTTGTTTTCATTTACCATATGAGCGCAATGCTGTGCAGCAGACTACCGCTGAAGCTTAACACCCATTCAACAGCAAGAAGAAGACATTGGTATTTGGAATACATAATGAGGAAGGCTTGTGCTTTCCAGTTTTAGGATTTTTGAGACAAATAATATGTCAACAAAGAGCAACACACAGTAAGATAGATGAACATACATAATGATGGATTTTTAAAAATTTAATAGTTTTCTACACAGTGGAGATTGCCTCTAGAGTTGAACATATCTTGCTGTGAAAGATTAAAGACTCTTGAGTTACTGAACCTAATTCATTACTGAACCTAGTGTACTTCAATACAACTTTAAACAACTTTGGAATAGTCATATAAAACTCATACTCATGAAATGGTTAAATATAGTCTAAGTCGTTTGATGAGTCTTCTATGGAATTCACATCCACCATCTTCCACTGGAGAAGGTCACTATTCTCAGTTTTCTTGTTTTCCTTATGTTCCCTGCCCTGAGACTCACCTGGGCTGTTGTGATGTAAATAAAATTGTCAACTAGGTGAAACATAGGCCTTGGACATACTGTGTGTTTGTGTATGTGTGTGTGTAGGTACCCTGATTACATTAACTGATGTGGGAAGAGACATCTGGAGAGTGGACTGAGTAGAGAGTGAACTGAACAGCAGCATGTATGCATTCATTGCTCTCTTCTGACTGTGAATGCAATGTGACCAGTTGCTTCAGCTGCCTTTGATGTGACTCTTGTGTCATGGAACTGTAAGGAACAAACAAACAACTCTTTCCCCTTTAAGTCCCCTCCCCCAGGGCATTTTATCACAATAGAAGGAGAAGAACAAAGTGGCAATGTCTTCACTACCAGAGTCTCTGTTTCATGTGTTCTAATACCTATGTGAGAAACACAACTTTTATTTTCTCCCCATCCTGGTAAGAGGTATGATCTAATGACTGCCTGTGTCTTCTGTTGACCTTATGCTTGGCTTTAGAAGGGAATTACCAGAGAGGAGTCATCGAGGGAGACAGCTTTGAGAGTCCATGTCCTCTGATGACATAATTCATGGAAATAGGAGGTGAGGTTGTTTGCTGGGAGTTATGGGAGAGGGTGGGCTTAAATAAAGGCTGAGAATGAAAGAATTTTGGAAAAGTGACTGTAGAAAAATTGGTTGGAAACTGGGCAAATGAAAGGCTATCCAGGAAGTCCCAGAGGGGCTGAGATTAGGTATCATAAATTTGTAGTTGAACCAACTGGTCCTTTCTTGAGTTTCTGCAGTGATAGTTGACAGTGTGGTAACAAGAGCAGAGAAAAGATACAGTGAGAATTGCTCTGTACTGACGATTGGCAGGACAGCTGCAGAGGAAATCTGAGATGGGCTAGTAGGTACTGATAACCAGGAAGAGGGGAACTATGCCATCCAAATGAGGCAGAAAAACAAATGAACTAGTTGGGGCTGGAAGGGAATAGAGGACATAGACGGGAGACAACACACAAGTGTGGAGACCAATTAGCACGGTTAGTAGACCTGAGGATCCAGCATGGTGGAGGGACTGGAATCTGACTGACAGGTTTCCGCATCTCTGAGCCTGGTAGTTAAAAGGTAAATGGTCAAGTGATGATAGCATGAAATGGATGCTTTATATATGTGAGTTTTCAGAGAAACAGTCATACTTCTGGGAAAATAAGGGTTAATTGAGGGTCTAGGATGCTGAAAACATGATCAGTCATAATGATGAAACCAGTTATTGGTGGTGGAATCTGTGAAGCAAGTTGGAACCATTCAAGGAAGGTGACAAATTTTTAACAACATTGTGAGAGATCAGGAATGCCTGCCATTAAAGTCCCGGCTACTGGTGGTCACGTACCTGCCACCTCATTTCTTGCTCAGCATAGAACCAGCTGTGTTATGAAAGAAGAAAGAAGAAAAAAAGAAATCATTTCCATATTATTTAAGTGGTTTAAAATATTCAAATAAAACCAAACTTCTTTTTAAAAAGAAGATATACTATTGATCAGTTGCTATACACATATAAATGTCATATTTAATTCTACCAGAAAGTCACAATTGGTTCTCCTTCTTCTGAGTGATCAAATATTTAAGATAAATGTAAAATAATTTGATGTCTATTAGTGGGGATTTACATGACAGATCACTGAGTACTTTATTAACTCATGATTTATTACATTTTATTTTGGGATTATGGGTATTATTCCTAAATTTGGGGGAATTTCTAGCTTTAAAATACATTTTTTACGGCCACATGTCCAACATTTTGATGAATGCTTTTGTCTCCTTTTCCAATTATATTACTGAGATGTCTCTTCCACACTGAAATAATTATCAGGCAGCATTTTAACAACATTCAATATAAACTGGAAAAGATCACCTTGTTGTCATGGTGCTGGATGATGTCATCTGTTTTTCCACACAGTGAATGGTTACACACCTCACTAAGAGAGTTAGTGCTATTGCATTGCTAACTGCCACACAGAAGGATCTCTGTGCTTATCACATCCAGCTGTAGTCAATTAAATCATGTTCCAAGTTCCAAGCATTTACACATCCTGGACATTTTCACCCACCATGTTTTTAGGTGAAGTATGTCACATGACCTCTGCCCCTTAGACCATTCAAATTTTTTTGGGGGGGGGTTTCGAGACAGGGTTTCTCTGTGGCTTTGGAGGCTGTCCTGGAACTAGCTCTTATAGACCAGGCTGGTCTCGAACTCACAAAGATCCGCCTGCCTCTGCCTCCCGAGTGCTCGGATTAAAGGCGTGTGCCACCAACGCCCGGCTGACCATTCGAATTTTTGTGTTTATTCTATGATAAGATTTGGGAAAAGAACTTAACAACTCAGTTTAGTTTTCTATTTTCTGTTTCAGTAAAACCAGGAAGGCCATTTGTGAATGGATGTATTTGCGAGAGGATGAGAGTGTGAATTGTCTTGGAGTGTCTTGAAGGTGGTGTGTAAAATAGTAAGTTGGGGGTTTATGTGTAAACAGAGAACAGTGGGTAAGTTTTTCTTCATTATTAGAATTGTTCTCTACATATTTGATTGGCACATATGCTAAACAAGCCTTTTAAGATCCAGCTTTCAGATAATTTCCCTGAGTTGATTCCAATTAATTCACTCCCAACTCAGTTCTCAAGGTTGCATTTTATCTCACCATCGTGTTCAAACACGGCTCTTCCTCAGGTGAACAATCTTCTGAAGTTCATTATTTTTCTCTTGTTGAATAATTAGATGTCTCTGATGGGCCTCATTGGTAAGTTTTGCTCTGCGCATCATTATTTCATATTCATCCTGCAATCCTTGGATTCAATGTCATTTCCTTCAGAAAACTGTGTGTATTTTTTCCTGTTTTGTCCTGATCTGGGCAGTGTCTCTCTTAAGCACTTCATAAAATTTTCTTCATTACTCACTCTGCACTGGTCATGTTACAGTATAATTATTTGGTCAGACTTCAGTTTTTATTACCTGGTTTTAAAACTTTTAATGGTAGAAACCAACCATCTCATTCTTTCTGCTGTCTTTACTAAGTACAGAGTAGTATATCAGAACATGCATTTGAGTGAATAATGTGCCAGCAAATAACAAAATCTAGGATTTCATTTTTATTATATAATTGATGCATATGGGTACTTAAGAACTTCAATATGTAGTAGAAATAAAATATGTATTTGTTTATTAGGAAAAGACAGCACAAAATAGAATGAAATGACGTACATTGTTGTATTTGTATGAAGAGATAAGCTGTTTTCCTCTGGCATCCCTGTTAATATCCTCTCTTGCAAAGTAGTTTCTTGTGTGGGGGGAGATGGAGGATAAACCCAAGGCAAATCTACATTTTTATTATTCACATTTTGACGTTCATGTGGGGAATTAGTTGGATAACCTGTGAGTCTGGATCTATTGGGGATCAAGAATTTGACCAGGAGGATGTGGAAACAGCTCAGTGGGTAAAAGGCTTGTTGTACAAAAAAGAACATAAAGGATGGTGGTGTATACTTTTAATACCAGTGCTGGTGAGGCAGAGACAGACAGATCCCTAGGCCAACCGGTACAGCCTGCTGGGAAAGCTCCAGACCATGGTGTAGGACTCAGGAAACAGGGTCACAGTGGAGAGTTTCTGAGGAATGACAATTAAAGTTGTCTTCTGGCCTCCATCATCTCTCACTTTCTCTCTCGCTTTCTCTCACATACACCTATGCATGTACATGCATTTATGTGCCCATGTGTACTTGCATACACATGAACACACACACACTTAAGCACACCCCTATGTCTCCCCACACAAATAATTAGAGTGTGATTAGGATTGTTTGTCAGAGATACAGTGCTTACCTGGTATGTATGTATAAGGCCCTTGGTTCAAGCCCCATCATTAAAAAAATAAAATGAATTGGTCTAGGTTACATATAGGTTTTCTATATATTCACAATAACCAATAAACAGAACAACCTGAATGCCATCAGTGGATGATGGATGAAGAAAATGTGTTAAATGTATCATCTACATTAAATTCAGCATCTAAAAAAGAAAAATAATCCTGTTTCATCCATAATATGAATAGACCACAAGAATATTATGTTAGGTGAAAAAATTCACACAAAAAGGGGAAAAATTCACAAAAAACAAAATACTACATGATTATGATTGTGATTATATGAATGACCTGAAGCAATCAAATTTACAGGAGCAGACAATCAAATGATGGTTGCTTCAGTTAGAGTGAGGGGGAATAATGAGAAATTATACAGTTGGTATAGAGTTTCAGTTTTGTGTGAAGAAAATTTCCTAGAGATATGTCACCTAATAATTTAGTATACTCACTCTTACAATGTAAAGTTGAAAACAGTAAATTATATTATATTTATTTTTAATTAACCATATGTAAAGATAAAAAATATAAATTCTTAAAAAGAATAGTTAAGCTAAATGCTGGTATGGTAGTTAGCTCCAACGTTTTCTCCCATGTTGTTTTATTCCTCGTAGTGTTCTCTAGTACTAAATCACTAATGCTGATGAGACACATGAAAGAGTCAACCCAAAGCAGAGTCTACCCTGTTTCTACATTAATAACCAGATGATAATATTATAGCCCATGAATCTCTTATGATGGGCCTCGTTACAGTGGCCTCTAGAAGAAGATGGAAGAGTCTAGTTCTCTTTAAAATATGAATGCACAAGAGAAGAGGCCCATCCATTGAAGCAGCTACAGGGAATCACCAGAGATGATGATAAAAAAATTATACAACTGGCATGTTAAGGAATATAAATGCTGTACTCTAGATGAGGCATACTTTGATAGGCTTGGAACATTAACTAAAATCAAATACATGATTTACTTCAATAGTCTTGCATGGAAGGGAGTATATGCGGGTGTCGAGGAAGCTAATGAAAGAGTGAGTAAATGAAAAGAAAGTTTAATGCACCAGTGTGCTTGGGCTCCTATGTCTGGGTAGTTCTTGGAACAACAGATGTAATTTCATGATGGAGGTAAACTGTTTAGTGGGGTGGCTTGAGAAATATGTGGGACCTGAGAGAAGAGAATTTGATGAGTGCAAAAAGATCTGTGTCTTGAGGAAAGGAAGCAAATAAATAATTATTTCTGGATTAGAAGGTTTAATGGATTTTTTCTCTGCTTAAATAGAAGGAAGCTAAGCATGACTGAGATTAAGGTAAAGATTAATAGAGGAAGAATGAGAGAGCACAGGAAAAAGAGGAAATAATTGCTGGAGGAGTTGTCAGATCTAGAGCTGGGAAAAGTCAATGATCAAGAGGAGAGAGGCACCACCACTTTCAGAAGAGGCAGGAAAGAGAGGGGTTGGAAGTGATATACTGAAATGGGACTGAACAGGGGTGGCAGTCACCCATCTTGATTTAAACAGATATATGCAAGAGCCAACTTCATGTGTGCTATTTTGCTTTATTTGGACTGGACTAATGTGGACTCTTAAGTGTGTCCACATAAAGATGTTTGACTGAAAAATCACAAAAGCTTATGGGAGGCAAGGTATAGATGTTTCTTATCCTTACTGGAAAACAAAATTGGTGAGACCCAGAACTCTTTTAAAAAAGCCTTCATTATGGTGCATTCAAGTACAATGGCTTGGCTTGGCTTAGCTTGAAGGAGATGTTGGCAAGGCATAAGTCATTTCAGTTCTCAGGAAGCCACTGAAGGACATGTCCCATTCTAAAGAGAATGGTTTAAATAATACAGGCTGTAGTTAGACCCAATTCTCTTTCTTAGGTGATTCCCCACTGATCTTTTTATAGGAATTTTAGAATATTTGGAATCTTTAAAAAAACATTTTGTGGTCTGGTTTCTTGATTATTAAATTTCTATTTCTGTTCAGAGCACTGAACACTTGTAATCTTATTACTTTTTCCAGCCATGTTTTAAAATTACAAATAATTCACACAAATGGGTAAACCATAGTCTCTCAATATCTTTACATTGAATAGCTATTCCTCTCAGTTTCATTCTTTTGCACCATAAAATTGTGAGTGCAAAGCCCTGTTGAAGTGTGAAGAGCAAGCACTCCCAAGAAACACAACCTGATTTAAACACACTGGGATTACTTTACAAGGATTAGGAAGGCCTGTTGTTAGTGAAACATGAAGTTCTAAATTGACAGAGGCCATTTTTACCTTAAACTAGTGGCAATGGATGCTATCTTTTTAAGCATTAACAACTACCTGTTACTGTTGGAGACCGGATGGAGAAGTCAGGCATCACAAAGCTCTGATTTAGAGATTACATCAGCTCTGGATAGAGTAAGAAGGAAAATGATGCCATTTTCCATTATACATTCTCCAAAATATCTGGTTATTCTTGTATACGCTAGTCATTTTCTTGATTCAATGCAAGATTATTACATATGAGTCTGAATTCTTGAGGATTTTACTAGACATTTAATATCACAATGTCTTGTGATTAAATATTCTCTTTGCATTCTTATCCACAAAGTATCTTATTAGAAAATTTAATTTGTTTAACCGGAAAAGAATATTTGTATATGCTTTTACATGGTGGTGAATTTTTATTACATAATCATTGTGATAGCTTAACACCATTCTGAAATATGTGAAGACAAAAATAATTATCTGGGACCCCCATTGCCTACATGTCAATTAGTAAACTGAATTTCTGATGCAATAGACCTCCTTTGAGCACCTATATGGTAAGTTCTGTGATTAAAGTGATGTGCAACGTTTTCTTGTTCTCTGCAGTAATGAAATAGCACTGCCAAATACTGTGGCAAATACGGAAGAGACATTCCTTCAGGGATATTCCCACTTGAAATGAAGTCTTTACACCTTCATACTGTTATGCCCAGATTCTGAATCCCCCAAATTACCAAGAGACTCGTTCAGATGCAAAAGCAAAGAGTCTTTTATTGTTGTTTAACGAGTTAACCCCATTAGCTTGGGCCCTTTGTCTGTTCATTTCTGCAGATAGCTGGAGAAAGACTCTGAGAAACCACGAGGCTGGGAACTTATGGGCCAGCATAAGGGGAGAGTCCAGGGTATGCAACAGTCTCAGGATTGGTGTAATTCTGGGCATGGACGACCTGTCCTGTGTTGATTGGTCAACTGGTTGTTGTGGTCCATAGGCCCTCCCAGGGTGGTTGCTATGCTCTGCAAGTCACTCTTACGCACTTATAGGGAAGAATGCCCAGAGCCAGAAAGCACAGCCCTGCCAGCTAACTTCTGATTGGGTCCTTGCCATAGGGAGGGTATCTGACCTCCTAGTGACTAGGGCAGGCCCAGCAAAGTCTTTACTGCAGCCTGTTTACGACTGCTAAAGCAGGGGTTAGGATGGTCCCTTCAATACCCAATAGTCTTTGAATAAACTTTTCTAAAGGAATCAGGCTACCTTAGTGTGAGGGAGTTTCATTACCCAAAGCAATTAGGAAACTATCTAAACTCTTGGTAAGCAACTTTTTAACATCCAGGGAAGGTGACTCATCTCAAAGGAAGTCTGAGCAGTACCTTACAGTACAACTTTTGTCAAAATAGGTATATCATATCTCAAAGGACCTCTTAATATTCAGGTTGTCTTTAAATAGTCCTTGTTATGAACAGTGCTGCCACTAATGCATAAATTTTAACATAGTTTTGAATCATTTTCTTTTGTTAAATCTGAACCAGAACAGTGGAAGTTAAAGAACACAGTGGTGATAGGGTCAGGAAGTAGAAATAGCCCCAGAATAAGACAGAGATAAGGATGAAGGTGCCCTAGGCTGTGACTGCAGCCAGCAGACGGAAACTTTCTATGGTTGGAGACTGATTATGGAAAACATGGGATACAATCTGTTTGTCTCCACCCTCCAGTCCAGAGACATCCAAAGGCCAACTTTCTCATTTTTCTCTCTGTCACATCTCCTACAACATCAAGGGAATGAGTGATGGAGCTGAGAGCCTAAATGAAAACTCTTGCAGGTTTAGCAGACCTCTCTCCTTATTGATCTTTACCTCTTACATATTGGCATACATACATGCCAATTGGAGCCTGCCTAAACCTATAATAACCCCAGAGAAATGTTATATTTGTGAATAAAACTGTAATGAGACAATATCATATTTACATTAAGTCTTCTGGACCTCAAAAGACTATGCTTAGTGAATAGTAACCCCTTACTGTTTCACCCCAAACCTCACCATCAACAATGCTGAATACGTTTTTAATACACAAATCTCAAATAATGCCACTACAACATATTATATTCATGGAAATAAAGCTCAATTAATAGTAATCACTTATTGTTGTGAAGCATCAATATTCTTTTTGTTTTGTTTTATTTAAATTAGAAATAAGCCTGCTTCACATGTCAATCCAGCTCCCTCTTCCTCCCCTCTTCCCTCGTTCCCCACCAATCCCCCCACCCCATTTCCCCTCCACTCCCTAAAGAGGGTGAGGCCCTCCATGGGGGATCCCAAAAGTTTGTCATATCATCTGGACAGGGCCTAGGCCCTCTTCCCTGAAACATCAATATTCTTAGTTCGATTATGGTGTCTTTTTTGCATAAAATTATAGGAGATAAATGAACAAGACATGACCTGGTGGAGTTCAAAGTTATTTTTCCTGAATCCAAAAGTGTAGTTGTTTATTCTATTTTTATCATGGCTAGAATAATACTAACATTTGTCATCTCTGTCTTTTAGCACTCAGCTCAGCTCATGTGGAACTATTAAAAGTTGCTCTTATAGATCGTGCCATAAATAAAACAGGGTTTCAAACAGTACAACACACCCTTTTGGAAGAGTGGACAAATGCAATCTCTATGCCATAATGATACTGTGACGAAGTTGTCTGGGTAGCCTTCAGGAAAGATAATGTGAAGATACTTTATGGATGAATTATGTATCAATTGTTTTCCTGAAGAAGAGAATATAGTACAGATGAACTTTATTTATGACTGGATTTCTTTAAAAGGGTTTAAAAGGTTGATGTTTTACTGTATGCTCTAGGTTCTCAAATCAATATTTACTTTGTCCTACACTAATGCAATCCCATCCTTTTGTTAAAATAAACAGTAAAAAGTGACCCTTTACTGTGCTCTCAAGACTTCTTTCCTAAGGGGAGATCTTGATGAATTAATACTGTAAGATTCACTACTCCAATATTGTTTTAGAGCTCCTGATGAATATGTTACGTAGGTATTGCAGTGGTCCTTCTATATTTATTTCCCTGCTACTTGGTATTTCCAAGTGTCCTTATCCATCATGCAATTACTCTGGAATTAGTGTCTGCAGTCCTTGTGACTCAATATTTCTTTTTACCAAAGCATAAGATTTATTAATAAGCTCTAAATGTCAACTACTCTTTGATCTGTGGATGCATGACCACACCCTCATCCCTTTATTATGAATGGAGGAGACATTTTTGTCCACTTGAACATTTGTCGCTGGCATTCCTTGTAAAGCCAAGATGACAGATTGCCAAGCTCAGAGTTTTCTTTTGGATAACACTAATTTAGCTTGCTCAGAACCAAACAAGACTGACTAACCCCTCCCCTTTAACCTGTGTTCCTGTTCAGTGGGAGGGAATTGGTTCAGTTGTCTTCTCTGATTTGGACTGAGAATAGCTATTGGGTATGGCAAGCAAAAATAGAATTGATCACATAAATTGCTATTAGTTTCATCTTATTGGAAACTATCTTAAATCATTTTTGTTTAACAAATTAGCTCCAGGAAGCACAGGTATAATTCATTAGAACTCATTTATCCAATTATGAGTTTAATTCTTTCTTGTGTTTTACTTTTAGATGGCTCTCTAAAAGGTATATGAATCATGTAGATTTTTGCTCCAGAGAAAAGGCTGTAGATTTAGATGCTTCAAATGTAAATATAGCAATTACTAAATCCCACAGTATGGGTTATGCAGGCAACCTTTGGCTGAGGAGGTGAATGACCATCATGAAGTAGGCTAAAATTCTAATAATGTGCATTTCTATGAACAGAGGCATTGAGAATGTTAATGTGAGAAAATAAAATGAAGACCACCTACAGTAACTGTCACAGTATTAACTTTATTTCAATTTTTAAATTTCCTTTTTGATATATAGAAGAAGACATTTAATTGGGGACTTGCTTATAGTTTTAGAGTGTTGCTGCTGAAATATTCATATGAAATTTTAATGAATAAAAAATTGACTAACACTGGTGGAGATTCTACAATCAAACAGTTTTTACAATGAAAAAGGGATAGTTTGCTGAAACATGAATCAATTTAAAATATTCAGTAAAACTAGTATTAAGTTACTGAAACTATAGAAGTTTACATCTGTTTTTTAATGTAATTTGAAATTATATTATAGTTTTTTATAACTATCTAATTTTTAAATTTTGACAGTTTAGAATTTAGTGAGAATAAATGTGTAGATAGTGAATGACATAAACAAAGAAGGAAATAGATTTAAAACAAAACCAGTGAGGAAGAGACTAGGTAACTTAACAATCCAGTAAACAGATATAGCTTACTAAAAAAATTAAAATTAGAGATCTCTTGTGATTACAACAAAAATAAGAAAAGCAGGAGAAAGTCTAGAGAGATAGCCCAGCTTTTAAGAACATTTACTGCTCTTGCAGAGGACTTGAGTTCAGATGCCAGCCTCCACATTGTGACTCCTAAAATTCCAGAAACTCCAGCACCCTCTTCTGGCCTTGGAAGACACCAGATAAGCATGTGGTGAACATATATGTATGTATGTATGTATGTATGTATGTATATGTATATGCACATATGTATGCAGACATCCAATTCTATACATAAAATACAATAAATAAATGTTTAAATAATAGAAAATGCAAAACAAGACAGAAAACCATGCAGTAACATTTGTTTTGGTGTTTACTTTTGATGTCAAACATAACAAGGCAGAGATTTTGACATGTTTCAGACATGCTGTTGGATTGAATATAAAGGGAAGAACAGTTCCTCAAACATCAAATCACAACATTATTTACTTTAATTTTAGAAGAATATATATTGTGAAAGTTAAATTTCCTTGGGCCTTTTCTTACAAGAGGAGAACAATAGATTCCCATGTGAGCCAGAACTGCTGAATCATCGCTCTAGGCCCACAGTTTTATTTATTTAATTTTTTTAAAGCTTAGTTATAATCAATGTAGCTTCTCATTTAGTCACATAAGTAAACATGAAGAATTTTAATTTTGAAGCATTTTTCTAATTATTATTTAACTTTCTATCATAATAAAAATAGTGATAAGCACTTAACCCAATCCTCTCAAAGTTTTCCCAAAACTTTGCCTTCAAAAGGCAATAAAATTAGCGAAATTTGACTTTACTCAGGTTGGTCAGGAAATAAAAAACATCAGAAATGATGTTTTGTTTTGTTTGAGACAAAGTCTTGCTGTGTATCCCAAGACAGCCTCAAAGCCCCTGTTTGTTCAGACTGATCCCAAACTCAATATCCTCCTGCTTCCACAGAAATACAGATTCACAGGTTTGTATGTTACAATGTTCTTGTGAGGTCTCTGTAATTCTATCTTAATTTGAGAAACATTTTAAGACCTTATTTATTGTTTTTCAGTCCCTCCATTTAGTTTGGCTATCAGCTGTGATAAAGTGATTTCAGAAGGAGTCCCTTTGCCCACTTGCTGTCTGAGGGAGCGAGTCTTCTGTGCTCAGTAATATCACACTATTAAGCAATGTTCCCTGACGGGTGCATGACAGCTTGCAATCTGCTTTTTCAAATGTACCAGACTTGGTTCTTCAAGCTACCTTACTAGCAACTAAGAGAGATATTGTATTTTCATTTTTATGTGAGGAAGCTGAATTACAAAAGACTCAATGGTTTACTAAAACAAATGCTTACTTGAAGCCTACTAGGCCCTTTCTTTGAAGTAGTGTGATTTCTGTCATAGAAAGAGCTGGGTAGTGAAAGAAAAGGCACTGAAGGAAGCAGAAAGAATCAGGCATAGACAGCATCATTAGGCACATTGTATTGCCAGGAGTGGAAAGGTTAAAGAAATACTCATAAAAGTATTTATAAATATTATTAAAATCAATCTAATGGGATGTTGACCATGTCAATTCCACAGGCACATGCTCCCTTTAACTTCCTGTCACATCCATTTTAGAGTCAATAATTCTTGCTTTTAATGCACATCATTTTGGTTTTGTGAGGAATGAGAGACTATATACAACAAAAATTTCCTGAGGGGGAAAAGACACTGCATAAATACTGGTATTAATGTCATCATTAACATTTATAATGCTGTCACCTCTCTACCTCAGAGATGCATTGTGGACATCTGAATGAGGTAATGTCTGCGAAGGCTCTGAGTTCTCCATATTAGTATTAAGACATAAATATAAGATGTTTTTATCAATAGAGTATTAGGTGAATATGGTCTAGACAGAAAATAATAAAATTTGGGCAGTGAACAAGTAGCTAACACTGTAAATAATAGGGGTGACTGGATACCACTGGTTTGGTTTTATAATGTAAATGTTTGTCTTCCTAAAATGATATTGCCCTTTATTAAAAATGCAAATGGAAATCCTTTGAATAATGCATCTAAGACATACTTATATACTAAACCATTTCATCTTTAAAATCATGACTCATTGTTACAATATACCCATGTTATGATAGAATGCCAATTTCTCTATAAAAATTATTAAATTTAGTTAAATTCTATCCCTTACTTTTTTCCTTGATGGCATTTGTATTTATTTATCCTATTGGAAGAGTGTATTTAAATTTTTCAAATAGAGAAAATAGAGGTTTTTTTTTTACAAGATTATTGTTAAAATATATTTTTAAAACTCACATAGTAGCTATAATTTCACTGATTAAGGAAGTTTACAACTGAAATGCTATTTGAGACTGAGTGGAGAACCAAGGAGACTGCATTGAGAAATGTTGTTTGAGGGATCCTGTCTATTGGGTTCACTAGTTCACTAGTTTTGTTAGTAAAATGATTGTCTCTATACAAGGAATCATGATCCATCTTTATATTTATTGCTGTGCTGTTATAATTAATTTTATGCCATTTGATAACAGATTTCTATCTTCAATAAATTAAGTGGCTTGTTCCTTGACAGTAAAAAGAAAAACAACTTAGACTGTTGGAGTTTCATCATCATTTTAAAGATTTTTCCTTTTGGATCTAGTCTTATTATATGAACTTTGAACTTTAGATGTAGACATTTAAAAAATTGAACCCAGGTCAGAGTAAGCAAAGGTGCCACATATGTTTCTATTATTGCTGTCCATAAAATACCCTAGTACCTAGGAGGAACAAGCACTAGTCTGTCTATCCTGAAGTATTAACTTCAGAATTAAACTGAGGTTGGGCACTGAGACAGATTTGCAGGTAGTTCCCACCTCAATAGATACATATGCAATAGAGGACATTCTATTTTATTGGATCATTTGGATCACTAGAAAAGTGTTGCATTATGAAGTGACTAAATTATCCAACAGATGTCCACTCCCATTTCTCTCATGGCAATAGAGAGAAAGCTGCAACTTAGTGTCTGTGGACATTATCCCAAAATCCTAAGATCCAGTGATCACTGGAAATAACATACCAAAAAGGAGACTCTCCTCTCTGTCTCAGGTACTCTTAATTTTATCCTGATTTTTTTACAACGTGGCTAAACCAACAGGCCACCCATTATCTGAAAGAAAACCTCAGTAATACATGGTGAACAATCCCAAGAAGTTCCCTGAAAATTTTCCCTGGCATCTACTTGATTAGTATTTTTCATTATTATCCTATTCATACATTGAATCTCAATTTACCTCCACCCTCTTCTCCCTTTCTCCTCTGGAGGAATAATTGCTGCTCTTTTCAAAGTCTCCTAGGACCATCTTCTGTTCTGCAAAGTTGTAACAAGATGTGACATCCAGTCCTGGTTAATCAGTGTTCTGCCCAAACCCACAGTGGCAGTGAAG